TAACCACTAGTCTGATCTTAAAACATTTGTTTGTACAAATGTTGCTATATGAACCTTTAAATCATCACCATGGTTCTGTTCTTGGGTTATGTACACAGATGTTAATGTCTATTTGCAGGTGCATGGAGGTTGACGGTGGGATATTTAAACTGTTTTCTCCTATTTCAGCTAGTTTATCTGCCCATGGAGAAACATTACATGTGCATGGCCCTGTGTGAAAAAGTGATTGTCCTCCAAACTTAATAACTGATTGGGCCATCGTTAGCAGCAACAACTGCAATCTCAATCATTTGGGATAAATTGCACTGAGTTGTTTTCAGCTGTGGAGGAAATTTGCCCCTCTCGTCTTTACAGAATTGTTCTAACTTAGCCTCATAGGAAATATTTTTACAATCATGCACAGCATCTCTGTAGGACACAGATCAGGACTTTGACTAGGGCGCTCCAAAGTCTTCATTTTGTTTTTCTTCAGTCATTCAGGCGTTGAATTGCTGGTGCGTTTTGGATTATTGTAAAACTTGTGGCCGGATTTCTTGGTAGACGGTTTCATGGTTTCATTTATCACAGCACATTTTCCAGATCCAAACGAACTAAACCGCCCCAGACCATCACACTACCACCTCCATGTTTTACTGTGGGTATGATGTTTTTTTTGTTTTTGTTTTTTTCTGTAATACGGTGTTACATTTGCACTAGATGTAAAGCAACACACACCTTCCAGGGAGTTCAACTTTTAACTCATCAGTCAACAGAATGTTTTCCTCAAAGTCTTAAGGATCAAGATATGTTGTGAAAAATGTTTTAGATGAGCTGCAAAGCTCTTTTTTTCTTTGCCATGCAGGTCATTTTGGCCCAGTTTTCCTTCTCCTGGTGGAGATATGACATCTGAACTTAACTGAGGCGTGTGAGGTCTGCAGTTCTTTGGATGTTGTTGTTGGGGTCTTTTGTGATCCCTTGCTGTGCTCTGAGGGTCGGCCTGCCGCTCCTGCGAAGTTTCACCACTGTCCCATGTTTTCTGCAGTGCGCTCACGTTTGTTAGACTCCCAGAGGTTTAGAAATGGCTTTGCAACCCTTTCTTGACTTCTAGAGCTCAATTACTTTCCTCCTCTATTAGTCCTGAATTTCTCTGGATCTCTTTTGAGGATCTTTTGGTGTACTTCACTTACTTAAGTGATGTCTCGATTGAGAACAAAGGAAAAGGGGTCATTTTTCCGCAAAAGGCCATGCAGGTTTGGAGTTTTTTTTTCCTCATTATTAATAAACACCTTCATTTAAAAACTCCACATTTTCTGTTCCCTTTTTTTAGTATTTAAATTGGTGGATGTTCTGAATCTGTAAAGTGTGACAAACACACACACAAATAAGGGAATGAGGAATGGGCATTCACTTTTTCCACATTATGTAGCGCTATATATATGTCTTTATTTTAGTTTTTGCTGCACATTTGAGTCACAAATCTTTCCCAGTTTCATAAAACGCTGTATTGCTCTGTGGCAATCACAGGTGTTCATTCCTCCAATCTTATCTGGTGGATTAACAGCTGCCGCCTGCGCCCGCCAAGTCTGTCATCCCAACAACCCATTCCCGCTCTGATCTCTGATGTGACAGACAATGAAACACACATGGGAGGGCTCGAACTTCCCAGTGTAAACCCAGAGACTCTTTGGATAAGTTTTAAACGGTCAATGCAATTTGTTAAAACACGGAAATAAACACACAAAAAAAAAAAAAAAAAACTCCCGGAAAATGTTGTAATATGATGTCAACTAGCTGAAAGAAAAACTCAAACGCAGTCAGAAGCTAAAAGCTAGACAAAAGCCAGAGGAATACGAGCGTATACTTGTTTGATTTTTACATGCTGCCTTGCTGCTGTCGTTATTATTCATATTCATCCCCAGGGAGGCTTGTATGAAAAATGGGACTGTATCAGCCCCCACCCTGTATGTCACCGTCTCACTCTTCCTCTCTCTCAAACACTCACACACACACACAGACACACACACTAGTTTGGAGTCTTGTTGAGGAAGTAAAGCCAGGCTGCTCCTCCCTTCTTTCCCTCATCTAGCTGGCTGCCCCCCTCCTTTTCTCCCTTTTTTTTCCCCCTCCTTCTTCAGTTTTTCTCCCCAACAAAGAGTGATCCAGCTCGTCTCCTTTTCGTCATGCGGGTAATCAGCCTCTGCTATTTCATTTGGCTCAGTAATGAAAGCAATCCGAGTGCTTTTCACAGCAGCGCAGCCCAAATAATGAGTGCTGGCTTACCCTCCTTCCTCCCCCTCCTCCTCCTCAGCCACACCTCACCCCCCCTCCCCACCAGTCCTCACCCTCTTCCTCCCAACCCTGCTGTTAATGGATGAAGAAAAGCAAATGTGTGACTCTGTGTGTGTGCGTGTGTGTGTCGGTGCGCGGGTATGTGAATCGTGCAATCTTGCCAGGTCCTTTGTGCCTCTTTTTCCCCTCACTGGGCTGTAAAGGAGTCTATTGTATCAAATTTGATCAGCAAAGCTCTTAAACAATTTGAAAACGTTTCATTTTTTATTTTAAATGAATCAGGCAGCCAAACATGTTTTCCTGCGTTAGTAGTTTGTGACCCGATTATAGCGGTGTGTGCTGAAAACACGCAGACTGCACGTCAATAAATTAACTTTGTTTTCCTGGCAATATTAGAGCGTGGTTTGAAAATCTATAGTTCTTCTCAGACTGAAAGTGTAGAGTAATTTAGCTAAACAAATCACAGAAAAACTAAAAAAAAAATTCCATGGCTGTCCTGGATCATTTAATGCAAGTCTTCCAGATCTGAGACTCTTTGAACCAATCAGTTTCTGATAAACGTTTCAGTATGGCAAGTAATTGACTGTACCATGAAGTGTGGTAGAGTAATAGAAAAGTCACTATGCCATGTTTGCAGCTAATTGCATGTAATTAAGTCATTCATTACTAGAGGTACGTTCAAAGTAATATTACTGAAATCATTCACTATGTGAAAAATCAGGTGCTAAACAGATGATCCTCATAGGAGGAAGAAGGCAGCAGCAGATGTTGTACATGCTGATTAAACGAGCAATCTTCTCTGAAAATACCAGTAAAGTTGGTTCTTTCATAAATTGCTCAGGGGGAGTGGTGTTGTTTTACTTGAAAGTATGATTCAAGAGGGGAAATATAAAGAAATGCAGAAGGCTGCTTAGCTGAAATGATGCGAAAGAAAAACCAATGATCAGCTGCTCAGGCATTATAATGCAGGAATGTTTTGCACACTATTGTGTTAAGCCTGAAATGTTTGATTAAATCAAAAATACTTATAGAGGTCATGTTGCTTTATGCTGAAGAGGAAAGTGTGGATGTTTTAACAAATGAGCACCTTCCTGGTTTCAGACCAACCAGGTTATTGCTTTGGAGCGCCCAGGCCAAACCCAGGACCTCAACCTAATGGGAAACAATTTTGGTGACGTCGTTCTTGTCCTTTCCGAGGCAAAACTAAGAAATGCAGCAGAATTGTGGAATGCCAGATTGGTCTTTGTTCAAACAAAGACGTGAAGCAGTTCTCAGAAACACTGATTATATTACTCAGTAAACCAAAATATTAGTGATTCACAAGAAAGTTTACCCTGTTCACATTTTACCTTGTGCAGCAAAAATGCAGACAATTCTACTTAATTTTCCTTTTTCTCAAATTTTTCTACAGTGCTGATTTTTTTTCTTCATGGTCTGATTGGCAATCAAATTATCATTTCTATCTTTTTTTCGGGGGGAAAAGCTATCTTAAGAATCTTGAGCATTACTCACACTGGTATTTTGAACAACACTGGCATATCTTAGTGGATATTGAAAAACACCCTCTGCACCAAGTAATTAAAATAAACTCAAACTTTTCCAATTGCTTATCCCTTTTCTTACAGTAAGCCTCCATTTTAACAAAAGGCAATGCATAACAGACTTTCTTAAAATATTGTTTTTGTTTTAAAGAACACCTTTGGAAACTCACTTTACAAGTAGACAACAACAGTCACAGAAATATTACTTCATAGGCAACAACCTGAAACTACAGTAGGGCAAATATTTGTATTAATTTATTAACCTTTCTTCACAGTCTGTGGAATTCAGCTCAGAAATTATGTTGTGCTTCATCAGGCATTGGCAATGTCTCAGAATGAATTATAGCACCTGAGCAAAGATAAAGCAGAGTTTGATTAAGCGTTCTCCCCAAAAAGCTGTAGTTTGTGTTGCGTTTAACGCTTGATGGAAACGTAGCCAGATAAGAGAGGGACAGATGTGGTGTAAATCCCTAAACATCTGCTCCACTGTTTTGGATCATTTTAACAGAGAAAATGAGAGTGGCTGTCTGAAAATGGTGCCTCTAAACCCTCTGGATACACACACCACAGTTTTAAATTGCCTCATTTTTTTGCCACCGAAATCTCAGCCACGTGGGCAAGAGATGCGAATCGGAAAACGTGTTTTGCAATATTTTGGAGTCTTTGTGGGCGGGGATTCAGAGAGAAAAGTCAGGCCAACAATTCAACAGAGAACTGTCTTCGGTCTTACATCTGCTCTAGAATCGTACACAACAGTTTCTTCCTAGTTTACTATTGTTTATTATGTGTGTAATAAGTAATTGCTGACTAATTTTCTTTTCTTATTTTTGATGGTTATGAAAATACACCTTTAATAAAAGGAATTCTTAGCTTCTATTTGACAAAAAAAAAAAAAGGTCTGGCATACACAAGAATAAAGGCCTCCAAATACTGCTTAAAAAGAGCCAAAATGCTCCATCTGTACATTTGTATCTTCTGTTGTCATCTCCGAGCAAGGCAGTGTAAGCCAATATACTCGAGCTCTTTTACTGCAGACAAAACACTGCTTATCTTTCTAAAACAGAGCTTGTGTCAGCTGATGTAATTTTTTTTTACCTCTAATTTGTAATCTAGTCGTTTGGTTTTATAAAACTGAGAGTCACCTGATATTAGCTTGACTACCATTTAGTTTTCATTCCTTTTTTCCTTCCATGGCCTCATTTCATTCTGACCATAGTTATACAACTACATGTTGCAATCACATAACTTGTCAAATCTGTTAGAAATTATATGAAAATCCCTTCTCATAATCAAACAGTGTGTGTGTGTGTGAATTTTCCTATAAGATGTGAAGTAAAAATTGTTTAAAATCTAGGAGTTGTCAAGCAAAACCAGGGTATTTATAAGAACTTTTTGTTCACTGTAATGAATGAAAGTAGTTTCAAACTTGAGCTTTGTCTGCATTTGAACTTAACAGGCAAAGAGTAACCAATGCAATTTAGATACTTTTGGGTTAGGAAACAATGACTTAAATAAAAGTGTTAGCTGTAGTGGTGTGGAAATGCTTTCCCCTAAAACTAGCTTTAACCTAAAAATACTGCAGCTTGACAGCTGACATTTAAACCCATTCCAGACGGCATGAATCGAGTACGGCTTACATTCATCCATGTGACGGAGTTGGCAGACAAAAATCTGTAGGAAGTGAGAAAACGACTGCATGCACTGCCAATGTTTCTAGGTTTTTAAAGTTCGAGTAAATACTGAGTCTCTGCCTCATAATCTGCAGCTTGCAGCTCAGTTTGTAGTGCAATCTGGTTTTCAAGTCAGTTGTAAGACAATGGCAGTAACTCTGAACAAATACAAGTGCAAAACGTGCAGGCAACAAGAGGTAAAACTCAGTTTTATCAAGTACCAGAACAACACTTTTTTTTTTTTAATACAATGAACAATTAACAAATAACACTGACATGTGTCAAGCAACCCTTACAGCATACAAAATAGGCTGGGCTGAATTCAACAGTTGTGAGTTTGTTAAAAAAAAAAAAAAAAAATTGATCCATTACTGGTGTAAGTAAAAATTGTCTGTCTTTAAAAATAGGTTTCTTTCCAGTATAGATTTTCCCTTTAAACATGGTTTCTTGTCTTATTTAGCCTAATTTATTCATTTTGTCTTAGGGGATTTCAATTTAAAGACTTCTCACAAACAGTTTTGTTTTATGGTTGTAAGGTTGTTTAGTGTTATATAGTAATAATTTATAATGTCTTCTGCTCATGTTCTTCAATAAACTTGAGAATCAGTACATTCACAATGTGCAGGCTTTCTTGCAGCGGCTGCGCATTTCTCTCGACTGAGAAAGAAATGCAACAAAGTGTAGAAGATGTCCTGAAGTAAACCCGCTTGGTTAAGCACACAGATAAGAGTTGCTGCAGTAAAGGTGCTGATAGCTCGGGTACTGCATTTCATGGGAATTGATCCCCAAGATGTTCTGCACATGGCACAGACGCAACAGCTGAGAGAATAAGCCCCACATGAGCTGAAACACTAAAAGTAATCCAGTAAAAAAAAAAAAAAAAAGAAAGAGATGGAATAGTTTCACGCCGCTGAGATTTTTCGCTCGAACATTCATGTTTTCTGTTTCTGATCAAAATGAAATCATTCAGGTCCACAGGACTGAATCAGTCAGAGGGTCTGCACCTGCACTGGAAAGAGCAGGGACAGATGCTCAGCGCCTCGTATCGGGAGTTTATGCGTGGTGTAAAAGTGGACGGCCTCGGGAATGGTGTCAAAGGGAGGGCTGTTCTGTCCCAGCACGTACTTCCCGTCTTTACACAGGGTGAACTTCATGTGCATAAAACCCTGGCAGCTCCTGTGAAGAAAGGATAAAAAAGAAGAAATTTAAAAGAATGAGTGTACGCTTCTAACAAAAGCAAAAAAAAAACAAACAAAAAAAACGTAAAAGTGTAAGGGGAGTAAAGAAGCATGAAATGAAATTTGGAGCGCCTAACATCAAGCATTTGGTCCCATGACGGTGTGCGAGCGATAGCCTGGATTTATGTTTGCTTTTTATTTTACTCTGGGAACATGATTCCAACAAAAACCTAATAACACTGACACTAATAAGAAAGAGAGGGGGTTTTTGTTTGATGGATGAATGGAGTAATAATACAACATAACCTCAGAGGAAAAACAAGGAGGCCGTGGCAGTGGCTGCACTAAGAGCCACACCTTCCCTTCAAAATCCATGCAGCTTTGAAAGGACTGCTCCTTTAAGAGTCTAATGTCTAATTATAGGAGCGAAGCAAAAGACAAGAGCTGGAACTGGTCAGCAAACTGTCATTGTTCAGAAAATTAAAACCTGAAACACTTAAAGTGACAAAGTGACAAATCTTTTAAGCCTTTGAGGATTTTGTTACTTTTAATAGAACTGTCACAGTACTATTTTTAGACCCATTTGATATGTTTTTACAGAAAAACGATGTTTGTTTTCAGGGGTTGTAACTATTCTGTTCTGTATTTCTTTCAGCTTGACTCTTTCAGTTCGTCTTCAAAAAGAAAAAAAACACAAAAACAATCTTTGACAGTCACTACAGCTATTGTTTACATTTCTTTGTAATCTGGGACACAGTTTTTGAGTGTTTCATTCCCCCCGCCCCCTGCAGGACATGACAAAAAAAATGTCAGACACATTCTGATACTGTGTGCATTTCCCCAGTAAGTTTAGTTGTACTGGGTTATTGTACCATAAAAGTCCTTGTATAGAAGTTTTACTGACATGACAGGGGTATTTATAGCAAACTGACCAAGGGCCCAGTTAAAACACAGCTTGTTAAGACTAAGCTGGTGGATCCAGTTTCAAAAAGACATTTTCTTAAACACCTCTTGTCCTCATTTAGGCAGTTCTGTGGCAATAGAAGACAAGATAGTGGTGAAAAGACAATCAAGATCGTTTGACATCAATTGATACATTTTTGGTCATAAAATGCCAACGTTTAAGAAAATCCACAAAATGTTGTTGAGCTGATTTGAGCTCAATAAATAAAAACAAAGCTTTTATTATATTCTGAAAAAACAGTTCCGATACCAAACAGAGCAGAGATGTGCAGCTTCACTGTTTAGTGTATGTAAAAGTGATAGCAGCTTAATGAACACATAAGTTCTGTAGTTTCTAAACTTTCTGGTCAAAGTTGAGCTTTGAGACCTTTCTGAATCTCCATATGTTTTTATGCTTGACCCAAATCAAACTGATATGAAGCTAAAAATCTTGTAAATATATATTAGTGGTTAAAATGGCATGCTTTATTCAAAAGAAGCTCCACTAGCTAAACGCTTTAATTTATGTGGATTACAACTTGAGGGAAAAGTTACAATGTTAGCATTCGTACGCATGCCCCAGCTTCAGAAACTCGATGGAAAACCAGAAGCAAATTTTATGCAAAAACGTGTTGATTGAGAAAAGCAGAGATGAATCAAAATTGAAATTGCTTGTAACAATCCCTATTGGATAAGAAACTCAGAAAACACTCCTATTCAAACCAAGGAGGTCAAAATAAGTCTCACCAAACTGAGATAGATATCTTAAAACATTGGTTATATTTTTTTCTTCTTCTTCGTTCTCTTTTTCAGATCGACTGGCAGAGAAATGCTTTTTTTTGAGGAGGCTGAAAACTTTTTAACTTCACAACATTTCTGTTAATTTGGGTAAAGAAAAAAAAAAGAATCAAGAAGTCGTAAGGTTCACAGATCTTGATCAATTCACTTCTTTAAGCCTCATGTGTGTTAACTGGGGAAAAGTTTCAGCACTGACCTTGTGGCCTAAGCAAACATGATCATGTGTACGCATGTGTGTGTGTGTGTGTGTGTGTGTGTGTGTGTGTCAAAACCACTCCACTCGTTTGAATGAGTAATGCATGAGCTTGTTTATATGTCACCACAACACTGACTCCACTCCCCTCATTCCCATTCTTCCCTATTCCCTACCTAATTCCCTTCCTGGGTGTCCCACAGACGGTAATTCATATTCATTAGCGATTATGTGGAGGATGATGTGTGCGCTGAAGTGTGCTCTACCTGACTGATTACCACTTAGACGGCCCGCTGGGGCTACGGAGGAAGGCCACCAAGGGGGAGGCCAAGGATGCTGAGAGGACAGAGTGATGAGGGGAGACCGGTGCAAGGCCGGCACAATGGATCGCGATTGTAATTACAAGGGAGCGATTTGACCAGATAAGCAGTATTGTGCCTCACACATGAGCATCAGTAGAGGAGTCAGTGCAGCAGTAATGTTAAGTGAAGGTGATGGTAGATGGGAGAGGAAAGACAGAGACAGATGGAGGGGTGTTGGGGAGCGCAATATGAGATGAGCAGCTCAGGCGTCTGAAGTCGTGCACATACACACAGTACAAAAAACATGATAATGTGTAATTAAAGTACAGAGCTTGTCATCAGAGACCGATAATGAACATAGCAAGAGGTTGAACGGTTTCTAGCTTTTAAGGTCTGCGTCTTACCTAAGGGACAGGGAGAAGTCAGAGCGGTTGTTCTGACTGTTCCTCACCAAGTAGCTGCACTCTTTACACAGCGTTAGCAGCGACTCTGCCTCCGAGCGCGACAGCGAGCCGTGGTACCATCTGTCAGGTTACAGACAAATAACAGCAACAATAAGGTTTATATATTTGGTAATGTCACAAGCAAACAAAATATATCTGCACTCTTTACTGAGATGTTTAATCTATAGCCAAGAAGCTGTGGCGTCATTCTAATATGTTATATAAATGTTCTTCGATGGAAAAAAAAAACAAATGTTGAAAAACGATAAACTAGGATTTCGACCCGGTTTAGAGTGGCTTGACAAATAATTCATAGTTCATGCCATTCCCCCCCCCACAATTTGTCACATGACTTCTGCAAGTTCTCACATATTTTAATGTAATTCTATATTACAGAACAACAAAGTGGCATGTAGTTGTAAAGAGGAAGGAAAAGGGTACATTGTTTTCATATATTTAGTGGTAAAATGGGGTCTAAATTGTGGATTACATTTGTGCTCAACAAACACCATTAAATATGTTATAGAACCTCCAATTGTGGCAACTACAGCAAATATTTTGTGTGTCTGTCAACAGAAACTTTGCAAATATACAAACGGATGACCCCCTTGTCCTTTGGGGAACAGCAAACGCAGATTGGAGAGAGAACATCTGAACAACTTTATGATTTAACACAAATCCTGCCTTTGTTGCTTGGCACTACGTTTAGGCTTGCTGTTGTGATGGAAAGTGACTCACGGGTTTCTTGCTGGATTAACCTGCATGTAGCTCTACCCATTTCCCCTCTATCAATTTTGACCAGATTCCCAGCCTTGGTGAAACACAAATATCCACAGCATGACGCAAGCACTGCCAGGATTAACAACGGAAAATGGAATTAATGTGTTTAGGATGACGTTCTATGTTAGTTTTTTGACACTCTTTGTATGTAGCATTTTGTATGTAGAGTAGAAAAAGCTGCATTTTGATTTCATCTGACAAGGGCATCTTCATAAATGTTGTTGCTGTGTCATCTACATGGTATGAAGTGAACTAGATTTTTTTTTTTCATTTCTTATCTGCAGTTGGGTCATGATCTTTCCATTTTCAGGTAATGGATTAAAACTGCACTCTATGAAATGTTCAAGTATTTTGATATTGGCTGATACCATAACCCTGCATAAAACTTCTCCAATACTTATTCTTAAAAAGAAAAGCCTCTGAGGTCCTCAGCTATATTTGTACAGAAATTTAATTAGATAAAGTTGGAATCTGTTTACTTCTGAAGGCAGCTTGTTGCACTGGGTTAATTTTTTTTTTATGTGATAACTTTTGAAAACCTAAGTATTTTGCAAAAACACTTTACATTAATGCACCATTTTGGGTTTCATCACAGAGAAGCTAAATAAAATATAATGAAGACTGTTGTTGGAGTGAGTTAAGATGTGAAGATGCTTAACGACTGGATAACTTTTCACAGCACTGTAAATTGTTAACGACCAGACCAAGGCGGATTCATTGACGACTGAGGAAGAAGACATGCCCACCTCAGGTTTACAATCATGTCTTGCATTTTAAAACTGTGCTGAAACCACAAATCCCCAAATAGCCCCAAAGTGATTATAACGGAGTAACAGAGCATGGCAACTCGTCACGTGAACATGTTCACATGTTCAAATGCACACACGCTGCGTGTCTGAATTTACATCTGTGCTTAAGGGCTGCTGCACTCCGGAGTTTCATTAGAAAAACAGCTCTTTATGTGCACAGAGACGGCACATAAATTACACCAATGATGTTTGAAATGAAGACCAAGGTAAATGTGCATCTTAAACGCTTGGACTTAATTTGTTAATGTTTAAACCTCTCCCGCCACTGTTTAGTTGAAACATGTAACGGCTTCATTTGAATTTGTCCAAGCCCATAACACATCAAAGCAGAGCAATAAAAGTGTCTGACTTTTTAATGGGGTTCTTTCCACCACGGTATCTGCCCTTACATGTTCATGATGACTTTTACATAAAATGTATTAAATGTATCCGTGAAAGAAATGAAGAAACATTTACTGCCTTTGTAAATGAAATTGCATGCATAAGTACCGGCATAAACTTGTGAGGCTTTTAACAAATGCTAGTTTGAAAGCGGGAACCTTGCGAACAGAAAGCAGTGGGCGGAGTGCACAACTTCTAACCCCATTGTTGTACATGTTGCCTGGCAGCAGCATGCCACCAAGAAGGCTGTTCAGCACACTGAGGTCAAAATAGAAGGATTTTGTTTGGGTGTGTCCAATTGTAAGAAATTACAAAAGTATTAATGTCCTTAATAAATATGAACTAAGCTTTAGTGACTTCTTGTTTAAATGAGTCTTACTGAAACTATCCTAAGCACACCAGACAGTCACATTGCTCTTTTGCAACAACCAAAGTGGGAAAAACATGGAAGCATTAATTGTCAGTTGCTGAATGAGCTCCAGCTCTCTGCACTCATCCTAGAAACTCGTGCTACTCGCTGCTATTGCTTCCTCTTAGTTTTCCTCCTCAGTTAAAAAAAAACAAAAAAAAAACAATATTAGTTTTTCTCTTTGAAGAAAGTATCAAGTTTTTCAGGTTGCAATTTCCATCTGTTAGTCTGTCAAACTGAGCAACAAAGTCCAGGTGCCATTTTAACTCCAGTGGTTCCCTTCAACCACTGGGGTTGGCTAATACCTAATCCAGCCAGATCAGGGCTGTAATCTAGCAAGCCTTGCAGGTGGAAAGCAGTGTGCATTTAACGCACAAACAGAATAGGACTTGGATCCATTTCAAGTATTTCTGCTTCATGTGTGAAAGGGGTCTAATGCCCAGTTTAACTGTGCATCTCTATGGCAGTGCTTCCCAAGGCGGGTCCTAAAGGCACACTGCCCTGCATGCTTTAGATGTTTTCCAGCTAAATTATTAACTTTGCTAATTATTGCCTTTTATTGAAGTGGTAGTATTATGCATTTTTCAGGCACATAGTTCCATTTTATAGCATCATCAATAACTATGTTGCATTCAGTTTTTAAAAAAATGCTGTACATTTCCAACATCACTTGAAATAAATTTAACTTTGAAATTGGGTCGCTGTCTCTTTAAGAAGCTCCTGCTCTTTCTATCGCTGCCTTCAGCATATTATCACAACAACGTTCCACCAATAAGCCTTTAACAGCGTTCTTACCAGTGACGCACTGGTAAGTAATTTGTATAATAAGCTCAGAGGATGCACAGTTTCACAAGATGTTTGCTAATTGCTGCTGCCACTAGTCTGAAGGAGCTAAGTGGCAGAGTTGCAGCGGAGGGGTACTGTGAGAAGCGGAAGCTCGACTTAGAGCCTGCAGCTCTGAGGCGCTCGCTGAAAGCGAACTTTCATGCAACCCAAATGGCTGCCATGGGAAATTGAAGGATTTCATGTATGAAAGAATTATCCATATTTGAGGTGTGTTTTTGATGAGTGTATAACATTATAACATGATGAGATGCAGAAGAAACTCAATTTCACAAAATATAATTGTGTTCCCCCAATTGAAGTGCGATCTATGCTGAGCTACGTTTTTGATGCTGGGTTCCTGTTTGACTATCAGAAGACAGTATACATACACCTGTTTTTCCAGAGGCAGAGTAGGGTCTACTCTCTCCCCCATCATGGTGGGGCTTTCATGAGGCGTTCGGAACTTCATTCCTCCTCCTCCTGCTGCTAGCGGGCTCAACCTGGGAGCTGCAGGACGCATCCGCTCGGTGGGCGACGACGAGCGATCCCACTCTGCACCGTCAAACTGAGCTGTTGGCAGGCGGGGGGGCAGAGAGTGAGTCATGTTATTTACATAGCAATATGATCAAAGGGGATTAATCCACTCAAGCAGACGGGAACAAACATCAGATAACAGACTACCGCAGATCCACATAAGCAGCATGGGGGGATTAGATTTGAAAGGGTCATGTTGCAGGTCAGCAGGTCGGAGTCTGATAAAAAGAAATTTACCAGCATCATTACAATTTGCTTGAAAATTTCAGGCCGAAAAGAGATGGAAAGATGCCGTTTTCTTGTCCTGTATTTGGTTTACAACTTTGTTTTTGATTGTCATAACCTTTGTGGCAATTATTTCACATACTCAGTCAGCTAAAAATGGCAGATATTCACAGTTTTTACACACCTTGCCCTATAGCATTCAACAGTTGCTACAAGCAGGTGCTCTACAGAGGGCATAGCAGATGTTAAACAACAGGGTCATGAGGGTCTGGACAACTTGCATGCAAATAAAGAAAGACAATGTGGGTGAAAAGGGGTGCAGGGATGTTCAGGGTGAGAGGTCACCTTGCTCTCTGACAGGGGGCTCCTCCTCCAGCTGACCCACAGGGGCAGGCCAGGGCAACTCCGTCAACTCCCTCATTTCTAATAGAGGAGGGGGGTTGGGAGTAGAGAGAAGAGCAAGAAAACAGCAGATGGGCTTTTACAATGTTCACCAAACGAGGCAGGTGACAGAAAAGAGGTGATGATTAAGAAGTGAGACCAAACATCAGAGGAGGGTTTTAATGTGAGGAAGAATGAGCGAGCAAGATGTGAGAAGTGGAAGAGATAGACGAGAAAGGGGAGCTCCGCTGAGAGCGGACGTGAGAGGCTGCATGTGTGGAGATGACATAGTTGTGGTGTCAACAAATGTAGTTAACTCTACCTCCTGTCAAGAGGAGCAGTAATATAATCTAACCCCTGCACCTTTGATAAATCCCACGCGAGAAAAACAGAGTCTCAGAGCCTGTGTGTACACTAATAAATCAAGGCAGATAAGGCTAAAGGAGGCAGGAGACAGAACAGAGGGGAGTAGCAGCATCGCTTTTATTTATAGTAATCTGAACTTTCCACTTCAAGAAATTGTCTCTTAGCATTAAATGTAATGAAAAAAAAGTGACTTCAAAAGTAAGTCAACCCACAGCAAAGTGTGACAGAGGAACTGAGGTGTGTGGGCATTTGTATTATTTTATTCACTGCAAAGCAACAGAAGGTGCACTGAGAGAAGGAGCTGAAAATAGCTCACGATATACCATGGCTGACTGCTGTAATACCAGTCATTACTGCTGCCTTTTCTGCAAACACGCACTCACAGGTACATTATGCATTCGTGTCAGAACCACAATGCAAATCCAACTCCTGCTCGTCGCAAAAGCGGATCACAAAACAAATAAAAGGAACAGAGGGGTGACATCTTAATGAGCTGACTAATCCAAAGACCCCCCAGGCCGGCGACATCAAAGGCCATTTTGAACGGGCGTTTTGAGAAAGACCCAGGCTGTACATACATGTTCCTCTTCCCTGGTTAATTATTGAGCAGGCAGACACACTCTGCCACTTTCCTTGGCTCTCTGTGAATTATTGATGCATGGCGCAGTACAATGGCCCCATCTGGAGTGAACTGCACCTCCACTGATGCCAGGATTAAAGTGTGGCCTGGCGCTCGATGGGAGCCTAGCACGCAAACACCAGTGCACACACAAGCATGTAGAGGGGGAAAAAAAACAAAAAACTCCTGGGACCACCACTGTCTCACTCCACTGTCGGCTCACCATCGCCACAAATTTCACACCTCTAATTCCCTAGAAGAACTGAGCGAGAGATGTGTGGAGAAAGATGGGTTTAAATTAGAAGAATATTAATGTAGGGTAACATTTGAGATAATAAGAGAACCAAAAATATATATTACTGCTTAAAAATCTAATGAGACAAAGATGAGATTTATATTGTTTTATCTCAATTTTGCTTTTCCATGATACTCTACTATTCTTTAAAAGTGACCAGTTTCAGACTGATTGGTACACTTCCTTTGGATTCACCTAAAAAGGAAGTGAAGCAAGTAAAATCACCCATCTTCTACTATCAGTCAAAAGCTAGCTTTACATGAAGTAGTCTAACATAGATCTAGTTTTCATAAAAGATGAGAACATCAAACATTCATAATTTAGAAGAAAACCTGAAGACAAGTCAACTCTATTGGAAATTATACAAGATGACAAGATGTGTACTTAGCTAGAAGAGCAGCTCCGTTTACATGAAGTATTATTTAAATGACCAAAAGTACAACCTTCTAGCAGATGCCAAAACACAATCAACCATATAATCCCTATAGATATGTTCTCACAGTAATTTTTAAATGAAGTTGATATTTTGTGAAATTTATGCAATTACCCTTTTGTGAATAATCTCCAAATAATTCTAGTATGGAGCGCCTCAACCGATATGAAAAATATCTCTGCTTGAACATTTGCACCAGCTTCTCTGTTTGCATATGTCGTAAGACACAACTGAGTCTTCATTAGCTGAGCCCTGACCCAAAAACCACCTGTGCTGCCAGGCTTAATCCTCACTTCACACCCATAGAGAAAACAGAAAGGCAATATGAAATTACAACACAAAAATACTGATCAGTTATCAGAAATACAAACGTAGTAAAGATCCTCAGATCTTTATTATATGAAGCAGTGGTTTACAAGTTTTCAGTGTCAAGTTGCAAACATTCATAAAGTTTTCCAAAAATCTCTCAAATAAATGCATTTTATCAACTCACAGTTTGTACACAAGAGTGTAAACCAACATCTGTTCAGTTGTTTGATGATAGAAATCAGTCCCTCAGCTAATTAGATGGCAGAAACTCAATGGATTTAGGGATCTAGATGAGGTGAAAAATTAGCATCATAACGTTAAAGAAGAGGGCCTTAAGTGACCTTGACCTGGTCATAGTTGTTGTGCCAGATGGCTGATCTGAGCATTTTACAGTCTTCTAATCTACTGTGATTTTAATGTACAACCACATCACAGGGCTATAGGAAATTGTCTTCAGGAGTGTGGGAGAATAAATGGTGCTCTGGTGTCAGAACAGAATAGGCAGACTGGTTTGGGATGAGTTAAATGCAACAGTAACTACCTGTAACATCCAAGGTATGCTAAATACCTGAACATAAAACATGTGAAACCTTGAAGCAGATGAGCTACAACATCTGTCAGCCAATAACAGGTGACTAGGGCTATAGTTCATGGTAGCTCAAATATGTTCAGTGGTCAAAACTAGGTGTAGAGCACATGAAACTATAAATCCATCCTGTCTTGTTTTCATAGGCTAGTAGCATTGGTGTAATATTTCATTAACACAGTGTTCATGAACACAGGCTGCAAAGAATAAATCAAATATTTCATCTATGCCAGGTGGTTTTGAAAGAAAAGTGTGTTCAACACAGTACAGGCTGTAATCTGGGCCACTACATGTAAACTTGTTGAGTGGAACCTTGTCCTAGTTTGTCCACCTCCTGCATTGGCAGAAATTACCATACATTTGGATTTTGACATTGGGAAACTGGAAAGTGGAGCATAACACAATCAAAATGTATAACTGCCCCCACCGCCCCACAAAAAAAGTCCTAACGCTATTTAAGAAAATAATATTGCAAGTTATGTTTTACTACAGCTGTGACCCACATTTGCAAATGCTCAAAGATACAAATTGCTCGACCGAACAAACAAAGATTCAGAAAACACGGACACATGAACCTCGACTCTATTGCAAATACTGAGCCACACTCATCCAAACTAGTCATTTATGAGGAAGAAACATCTGGCTCATTCCTGTGTAAAGGAAGTCCTGTGTCATCCAAAGAAGATTGTTATTGTTTTGATTCTCTAACAGCAGATGGTATGATTGTCTCTGAACAACAACAACAACAAAAAAAGAAACAGACTTACTCTTATGCAGCAGTAAGTGTTGTTGCACTGAAACACTTTAATGCTAAAATAAGGAAGTGTTCTTTTCTTTTTTTACCATCTCATTTTAACTTGAAACTATGAAACAGGTGACAGCCAGTGGTATGCTAAAGTCTTTTGCCTGCCTCGATTGCATGCTGATAATTAGCAGAATCTATTTTGTGGAAGGGCAGGCTCTTTTTTTTAGCCATGGACAGAGTAAGCATTGCTTCAGGTGAGAGATAACTGACTTTCTTAGACACAGCAGCTGTATTCTGTGTGTTTCAAATTGTGAAAGAGCAAAGACAAGAGAACGGGTACATTTAGTCGATTAATGAAGATATCCATCCCCACACACAGCTCCGGCATTGAGGCTCTGCAAACAAAGACCTTCTGTCAAGAGGAAATCACTCGTATGTACAGACAATTACAGGAATAAGGCATACGCATTTGCAAAAGTACATCCTTAAAATAATGAATGCCTTATGACTTCTTTAAGGTAATTTTACTGAAACGCTTTACTAATTTGATTCACCTTTCCATTTCATTTTTTAAATACCCTCCTTATATTTATTTATTTGCTTGTAAGTGGAGGATTACCTCTTGTTTCATATCTGCTTGTCCTGTCCCACTTATATTGAACAGTGAAGATGAAACACAAGGAGATGGCTCTCCATTAACATCAGAGAGGGTTCTGGTTGCAACAGGGAAACAATAAAATCAGAAAAGTGACAAGCAAGCGAAAAGGGGTAAGGGAGAGAGAAAGCAAGATGATGACAAGAAAGAGGCAGTGGGGAAAGAGTGAAGGGGGGAGCCCTGTGGTTCTGCCAGTAAGTTGATGAGTAGCTGGTCAGATGGCCCAAGGGTCTGCTTAAAGCAGCAAAGAGAACCATCAAGCCAGAAATGGAAATCTAATTTTCTTTTCCTGCTTGCACGTTCTTACACACACACGCACGCATGCACACACGCACGCACACAAATATGCATGATGCAACAATGCAGGAAAACTGAGCCTGTCAAAGCATACAACACGACAAAGCTCTTACTGACACACAAACACAACATGGTTCAATGTTTTTTTTTCCCCCCCCAATTTCTGTATAACAAAGGTTTACGTAAATTAAAATGTTAAATTGCTGCCATTAAAAGAGGAAAAGACAATGCATTCTAATGTTTAGTGTCGGATACAAAAGCCTTACTTTGTTTAAGAAATCATTTGATCTCATTTCCTCGGTTGTAAAAGTCAAGGAACACCATTTTTGTTCTTAAACCAAAATTCTAAAAACATTGCTAATTTAATAAAAATAACCATGCTAAGTTAGTTTTTCAGCTTATGGTTTTTGACTGACGGCACACGTCATTTTGTCTCGCCACCATTTCAGACTTTTTTGGGAGCAAAATGGAGCAGACTTCCATGCCTTATACCAACCATGCTTCATTCCTAACCCAACAAATGCCAGCACAAAAATTTAAAATTCATGAAATCTACATGAGGTTTCTCATTGGCTAGACAGAAAAATAATCTTTGTTCTTCCAGATATATGTTAATGCTGCCAAATCCAATGAACTGAGGGGTTCAAATAAAGCCCAAATACCGTTGAAGCCCAATCATAGTTGTGTAATTTTTCAAATTCAAATAATCCAAGGCTTTATTTTGCAAGCATTTCTCTTGATCAAGCAAGTGTTATCCTGAACCTGTAACTGCGAGTGTTTTTGTCTCAACCTTCATTTTAGGACACACACGTTCACCATGCTGCAGAGATTCTATGAATAGTCCAGGTCTTTTTCTGTTGCTTAATGAGCAGCTGCAGAGGAACAAGTGGAGGATAAGTGCTTTGCTCAACAGCAACATTACAGTAATTGCTAGGGGTGGCGATGTTATTCCTTCTCCTCCTCTATCCAGCTGGTTTCGGGCTCTACATCATGAGCTCCACTGCGCTAACACTCACACTCATTGCCTCAAACCTTTTGTTGTGGTCTATAAAACTTAAAAACATTAAAAACACCTGAAACACCCACTCATCTGTTCATTAGGAGCAGTCATCAGAGAACTAATAAGACGGTCTCTCTCATTAGATCGCTAATAACGCAAGATGGCTGCAGGGCCAGTTGTTTAATGTACAAATGTCCATTAACATCCAGGAATTAATGACTGCTGTAATCTGAGGTGGATGGTAACACTTTGTCTTTTTTAAAGCCATCTAACATGTCAAACTCTGAGGGAGTGCTGAGATCAAATTCACACGACTGCTTGAAGTGGACTCCAAGTCTAAGAAAATAAAAAAATATATTAGGCGGGAAACTCATTTGGACTTATTCGAAAAAATAGCCGCAGCGTTCAATTTTCACACCAGCGATTACATTTGAGCGTGGATAAGCCGGGAGAATTGTAATCATAGAGATTCTGTAGAGAAGCTTTTGCATAAATAAAGTACATATAAATCCCCCCCCATCCCCCTTTCACGTCTTCACTGGTGCCAACATGCACGCACCATCCTTCCACGCTTGAATTAAGTCTGTGGTCATGATCAGGGCTGTAAACCCCCCCCCCCCCCAAAAAACAAAAAACTAAAGTTGGAAACCCACATATGCGTACATGAGCCTGAGAGCAAGTGCTGATGAGGGGCTGCTGGCAGATTGTGATACCCCCCCTACTGCCCTCACCATTTGCCCACCCGCGGCAGGTTATCTGAGTGAGTATGTCACATCAGCAGGGAGGAGAGGACTGAGGGGACAGCCCTGTCACCGCTGGACCGATGGTGTGTACATGTGTGAGAAAGTGTTAGGGGATGACTGATTGCGCCGTGGCCGCAGTGGCCCTGAATCCCCCGTTACCAGCCGCTCTCCTCACCTCGCAACATCTCCTGACCATTAATACTCCTCTCCACTGAAACACCGGGCCTCCATTAACATCCACCTAGCTGCCACCAAGCATCTCACAGCATCGGACGTCCCTTTTCATTTGCATGAAGCCTCTCTCTATCCTATTCTCCGTCTCTTCTCATCTGCATCACTCTCAAACCTCCATCCTCATCTCTTTGTTCTGTCTTCTGTAGCCATGCCTTTGCTGCACCGTCCTTTCCATTGCTTCCCGCCCTCGCAATGTGGGCCATGCTTAGCAATGCCGAGAAAGTCCTGGGGAATATGGATTAAATGTGAGAATGGAAAATACTGTTTGTGTGTTTACACTCCGGTGCCTCGGTGCGCCGAGACAGACAGCAAGCCAGCTCGGAGAGCTGACTCTGAATGGGGGGGGAAAAAAAAAAAAAAAAAAGTGAAAACAAAGGGTCAAAGAACTCGGGCTGCACGAGCGTTTTCCTACACTTCATGCTCTAATGGTGGTATGAGTACTCCCCTGCAGTGATGCATAATGTATATGTCACAAAGAAGAGACATGAAACAAGGAGAAAACAAACACATACAGCAAGTGAGGGGTGCAAATTAGGTGAGTGATGGCTTTGGCTTTTAAATTATCAAGCGCACATCTTCATTTGAAATTGTCTCCTCCGTCCAATGAGTTACAGCGCCTCTGTGCTCTTCACTGGTTTGGCTGGTTTAAGTTTTAATGCGATGAGAATGGATTTCTGTGTATGTGCATGGGTATCCAGACAATGCTGTGCTGACCGTGACTTTCCTATTAACACTGGATCAGTCACACATGTGTAGGCATGTAATTAACTGAGGGGAGGGGAGAAGGAATGGAGGTGAGCGAGGATGAGGCGAGGTTGATTTATTATCCCATTACCTTGACCTTGGTGACTTGGAGATACAGCTCAATTAAGTGGACTTGGCCTGGCATTCTTCACACCTACATCCCCCTTTCCTAATGATTTATCAGGACTGTTTGCTTGCACCGTCCCTTTGCTGTAAAAATACTATGAAGCAATTTCACCTCGTCACTTACCATCTCTTCCCACCTTCCACACAATCCTGTCATAACAGCAAACCAAAGCCCCTGTCAGTCCTGATGATCATCTCAAAGCTTGTTGAGAGTATAGTCAACCACATGTCTAAACAAAAAGAAATCAATATTCTTCCAGAAGGATTTCAACTCCAAAAGAGAGAAATATATGTCATCTGAGCTCAGACAGTGAAGGTCACAGTACTCCGTTTCTAGTTAAAAAGCTGTGGAGATGTAATGATGGGGGAAGGTAGATGATTTTTTTAAAGGTCAGAACAGTTAGAATATTATTTTTACCATGTACTATCAGCAGAAAAGCAGTCTGTAAGCTCAAATGAAGGTTCTGACCTTTAAAAAAAGATAATTTTGAAGTAAGTTTTAACCATTGAATAGATAAAAAAAAAATTCTAGAGAGTCTCTTCAAATACACATTTCCTGAGATACTGTAGAGTTTTCACTCATCTAAAGGATTTAAGGGCCTTGGTCTTTGGTTGGCATTTATTCTTCTGCTGGAAAACATTTTAATAAAATGGAAGATAGTCAATAAATTTGGGAGGGCTCTTTGTGAGAAAAACCGAGTATTGATCAAGCTTGGCAGAGGCAAAGCTAAACTAAACAAATAAACCAGTGAGATCAATGATTGACCACATCTTTGTAACAAAAGTGTCTTGGAAAAGCATCCACTGACTTTGAACTTCTTCATATTTAGTTGCACTACAGCCACATGTTTTTCTCTGCTTGTGGGAACAGTATTAGAATAGCACCAAATCAAAACAAAGTAGCGCATAGTTGTGACATGGAGGAAAATGTATCGTTTTCAAAATGTTAACAATGAAAACTCTGAAAAATGTGCCTATTTATGTTCAACTTTGAAATCCGATACCCCCAAAACAAAAGTCCAACAGATTGCAATTGCAAATCCCCTACTTGCTAAATGTAGCCCACCTTTGTGTAATTTAATCTCAAATAAATCCAGCTGTTCTCTTTTCAGTTCAGTTTGTGTATATAGTGCCAAATCACAACAAATGTTGCCTTGAGGCACTTTATCAGAGAGAAGTTCTTTGAAGGTCTCGGAGGGATTTTAGAAAACTTCAGCCAAGCAAACAGCTTCATTTAGATCAACAATCACAGTAAACAGATTACAGATAAAGGTGCAGTGAAATTTTAAGCAGGGTAGGTTATAAAACCATATCTCAAATTTTGGACATCTCACTATTTAATCATCCAGAAACAGAAAGAGTATGACGACTGCTCAGACAAGCGAAAAGAAAAGTAACTAGAGAGGAAATTGATAAGCCTATGATAACTCTGGAGGAGCTGCAAAAACCCACAACTCAAGTAGGAGCATCTGACCAGAGATCACTCACCATTGTTGTCACGTGCTTAGCTTTAACACTAAGTCAGTGACTAACTAGTTGGCTGGATTTCCTAAAATAAAAATGCCTTCTTCCAAACCTGGCATAATAACCTGGACTCGACTCGACTGTTTAGTAAATAGGATTGAATTGGAATGTATGTAACAGACTTTGAATCTGTCTGTATGGTTGCACTGAATTTACTGTATTTCTGTTTATAAATCAGATTGTTTTGTTTAGTGCCAATAGTAGTAGATGCTCTTAAGGTCGCACAAGAAAAGTGCTGAAAAATAGATTGTCAAAAGAATGCTGAAAGAATGTCACAATAATGCTGAACTTCACCATGAACACACAATCCCCACAGTAACCCATAGCAGTAGTTACATCATGTTGTGGGAATGCTTTTCTTCAGGGACAAGGAAGCTGGTTGGAATTAAATACAGGGCAATCTGCTAGAGGCTTCGACTGGGATGAAGACAACCGTAAACATACAACCACAGCTGCAAAGCAATGTTTCCGGTCAGATCAGATTCATTTGTTAGAATGGCCTAGTCAAAGTCTACAGGAGATCACTCTTGATCAGATCTAGTTGTAGATCTGGAAAACAACTAAACTGTTTTCCAGTTGTCTCTGGAAAACAACTAAACAATATTTTTGCAGACATTATCCAGTACCGTATTTTCTGCACTGTCAATGAATGGCCTATTTTAAAACTTTTTTCATATATAAGGTGCACCGCATTATAAGGCGCATAGAATAGACGCTACAGTTAGGGTTGCCACCCATCCAGTATTGAATCTATATGGGATGCAATTCCTTCCGTACTCTACAAATGTGGATGTGTAATAATAAAGAAGTGGTCCCCGAGTACTTTATATAGTAGGCTGCTCCAGTCATTGTTTCACTCACGGTGTTGGTGTTTCGATATTGTGCCCAACTGCTTTCTGGGTAACACAGACCAACCGACACGCTGCCGCCGCAGTCTCTGTCTTTGTAAATATATTTGAAAACCAGGTATCCATTTCCCTCTAATTGACAATTGCGTTTTAACTTACACCAATCTGTTACATACAATCCCCATGAAATATGTTGTAACTGTAGTATGAAAAGATTTGACAAAAAATAAATAAATAAATAAATCAACTGGTTTGTGAATCATCGCATAAAATATAAAGCAACATTATCTGAAGACATTAACATTTACAGGCTTGATACAAAGGGCAGATGAATATATTGGAATGATCATTATCTGGCTTTTCTATTAAAACAGTAGGTTTTTTTCCCTTCAATTCTAGAGCATATATTTTCTTCCTACCTGCAAATGCTTTGGAGATGTGATCCTTTTTCCATTCCCAGGGCTGGTCGTACTCATCTGCTGGTCTCTCGTCATCTTGCGGTAGCCTGCTGGTCTCCTTGCCCTCCTCGTGAAGTTCACCGTAGACGTAGCCCAGGTGCTGTCTTCGCTCATCTTCATATGGAGTGTCGTAAAGCTGCATCCCTCCACGCATTCGGCCTCCTCCGGGGGTGCGCTGTAGTTCTGACATAGTACATGCAAACCAGAGAAGAAGAAGAAGAAAGAAAGAAAAACAAATCACACAAAAGAAGATGAATATGCAATCATTTGTCATATTTAACCAGTCAGCAAGAAAAATAGCTCCTGTCAGAAGCAATTATTCTTCTCAAAACACAATCCTAATAACATTCTTCCATCCAAATTTTAAATAAACAAAAAGCTTGTTGATCTCTGACATGCCCAGAATTAGAGAAATTAAAATAATTATATTTGCACAGCTTGCAGCAGGTCCAGAAACCAATGTGGTTGGCCCCAACAAGAAACTGGGTTAGATGCCGAGGGGAAACACGGTACTTTCTCTCTCCGTGTCCATCCTGCATCTCAGCCAGCAGATATCCAGCATGGCTCACAGCAGTGTTCGTGTCTCCTTGTTAACATTTTCATCAATTTCTCAGTGGGGTCCAGTCAACAAATGGTTCTCAGCACCTGCATCTGTTTTGTGGAGTCAAATATGGCCATGAGATAAAATGCTTCCCAAGGGATCTCCAAGCAACAGGAGTCCCAAAACATCCAACAGTGTTTGATTTTTTTTTTCTTTTTATACCAGAAATTGTAGAATGAGCTGGAATTGTAGTAAAAGAAAAGCAATGTTTGTGTTTGCATAAAAATGGAAACAGGACTACTATAGAGTTTGCCGTGCAAAACAATGCTTTCAGGCGGCTAGTTATTACCATGGTGACCAAGTGGAAAGACCCTGACAGAGAGACCCTGAGGTTATAAAAAGAAGGGCTGAGGAGAACAGGAGAGAAAGGGGGAGCAAGGCCAGGAGGGGAGGTGAAGAGGGGGAAAAGGATGTGGTAGACTCAAGAGCAGTGGGAGTAAGAAGAGAGAAGAGAAGCCCTGATGAAACAAGTGGAAGAAAAAAAGGCAGCAAGAGAAAGAGAGGGAGGGAGAGATGGCATGAGAGATCGAGGAGGGCAGGGGATTGTGGTCTATCAGCATTTGATGTTAAGTCATGAAGACAGAAGCACAGCAGGGCTGAACGCTGCTCTACCTGCACTGGGAGCTGGCGGTGTCACAGCAGCCAGAGATGAGATGAAGGTTGGGAGATAAAAACAAGATTGGAGGAAATAAAATGATGAATTCAAAGGAGGCACGATGGAGGAAAACAGGCAGGGATTTGAGACCGCGGGAAGGGGTGAGAAGACAATTTGACGGGGAAAGAAGATTGAGCGAAACGATGACAGGAAGGGATAGGGAGTGTGTTCAGGGATGCAGATGTGTGTCAGCGGGGGGACTGGCCTTTTATCCACATGAACTGAATTCATGAGTCATGACAAAGTGAAGAAATTTTGAAATTTAAACTATCTTAGAAACCATATACTGAGTGAGTGATAAATATGCCAGTGTCGCATTTGCCTGCTGCTTCCATGACTTTTAATGAGAAAGAAAGACTGACAGACGAACAGACAAAAGCAGGCTCTAAAGTGACAGACTCAATTCAAAACCGATGACAGAGCTCTGACAAAGCTGTGCCATCAGCTCTCTGAATCTAATCTCTCAAACGGCTCCATCCAGGTTCTGTAAAGGGCTTGCCTCAAGGTGGCAACAGATTAGCTCCTTTCTCTTATTCCTAATATTGTGAAATGCCTTTCACTTACCAAAAGGGCACCAAGAGTGAGAGCGATGAGCGAGCAAAATATATACAGTGGACTTTCACTAAAGGACAGATTAAGAGACAAACCAAAGAATCCCCTTGGGGGGACTGGGGAGAGCCCTTGAGATGGAGCGATGGAGAAATGGAGGGGAGGAGAGATGGAGGTGGAGGGGCAAGCTTTTACACTAAATGACTGGGACAGACCAGGGAGAGCGCTGGGGGGGGACGAAGGGTCAGAAAAAGATGTTGCCGAAGGAGGGAGAAATGGAAAACGATGGCTCTGTGATAAATGATGTGGGAGTAAATTGCGAGGGCAGAAAGGGGGTCTGAGCTTGGACGGTGAATAAACACTTCATGATGTTGAAAGCTCACTAGGCTGTGGTTGACAAAAATCCAGTGTAGTAAGGTGTTTTAATGTTTTGGTAAATTCCAAGAAAATTGAAATTAGAGTCCTTTCAGTCCTCTCAAAAGACACAAGGCCATCACTGACATGCTTTGCTCAAAGAAACTACTGACAGTACAGATAGTACTTCATGATCTAGGTCCACATTTTACCCATGAATTAATATTTTCAGATTTTAGTTTTGATTTCAGTTTTGAGAAGAAGCAATTATTCTTCTCAAAACACAATCCTAACAACATTCTTCCGTCCAAATTTAAAATAAACAAAAAGCTTGTTGATCTCTGACATGCCCAGAATTAGAGAAATTACAATAATTATGTTTAATATGTTGAATTACCTTTACAAACACAAAGTACAAAATTAAAAATTTCAACTCCCCATTTGTTCAAATAACATTGATTGCATTTCGATTGCATTTCAGTAAAATGTACACTCTAACCGTTAAAATACAATTTCCCACTGGGAATGATCAAGTAGAAAAGTAAAAGCTAAAACAAGTAAAACTGAATCTGATAATGAGGTAAATTTTATGTTTTTCTGTTAGTCTTTCCTGTCTGGTGTAAAAAGCACAAATGTTTTTTGACCTCCTTCACAAGAGCAGAGTTAATTGCACAAAAGAGAAGGTCAAAAAACACTTATGCTGGGAAATTATATTCTAACAGTTAAAGTGCAGTAGTTTCAATTGACAGATTAACAATATTAAATTTGAATTTTGTTTGAACTGGTCAAGATGATCAATAGAGCCAAAGAAAGAACATGCTGGAAATCACATAGGTAGCTGGAAAATACAGTCAAATCACTTCATTTTGGACTCAGACTTTTATTGTTCAAAAGTCTTCTCCATCTCTGTGAGTCCACTGACCTGTTATGACCCTCTGAGCTTCATACGGTTCCATGTAGCCATTATTCTCGCAAGGGACAAGACCAAGATCTGGATCCGGTCGATGTTCCAATCGCGCATCGAATGGATCTGAATAATCCGTGTCTCCTGCCATTGGGGCTGACGGGACCACCTAAAAGATGAAACAAAAACCCACTTATGAAGCAGAGGCACTTTTTGAGGTAAAACTCATTTACACCTGAAGAAAAAGAAAAAGAAAAAAAGCTGACTCAGTATAATGAATTTAAATCATCCAAAGAATTCAAAAGAAGCCAAAATTCCAAAGTGGCTAGTTTTGCCAACATGGATTTTGTAAGATTTGCATTAAAGTTTTGAAAGCATCATTTGGTTATTTATAATAATCTGTGAAAGCTAAAGAAATAGTCTTGTGGAGACAGCATATCTTTAAGATCCAGTGACTAAGGGATCGGGGGGTGTAGAAGACAAGTCACAAAAAACAAATAAATAAATAAACCATAGGAGAATCACATTAAACATCCACTTTGCCATAAATAGACGAAAATGAAAAAAAAAAAAGTGGCCCCATCACCGTTGAATAAATTGATCCACTAAGTCTTTATACAAAATATATAAACATACTCTGCATCATCATATCTTTGTTACAATCCTGAATGGTGAAGGACAGGTCCTGAAGTTTTTTTGGCTTCAAAAAGAGTGGATGGAGATAAAGGCGGGAGACATGCAGTCGGCAGCTTTTGTTCCTCCATGCAAGCACAGAAGGAAAAAAAAAAAAAAGCAGTGGTCATCTGGCAAAGTGACAGCAACACAGCCAACCATATGGTCGCACAAACACGCGCGTATGTAAAAACACATGAGAGCCAGTCTAGAAGCGTGTACATCCTTTGTCTCTCCTCCTCTCACAAAGGAAATTACTGCAGAAAGGCCCCACTTCCCAAAATCCTGCTAAACAGGCTGACGCCCTGGTGAAACAACGTCCTAATCTCTTGTTGATTCTCTAACAGGTTATCTATTGATGCACAGGAATCTGTTATGGTAATTAGAACATGGATGTTCCCACAGATCATGGGAAATTAATGTGCATTAGAGGGAGAAGGGCAGACAGGGGAGCTATCGACTTTAGTGGAAGTATTACTTCAATCCACTTCAGGATTTTTGCTCTTTCTAGCAGTTTCCATGAGCTTGTTTGTAGATTAAACTGCTATGATAAAGATTCTAAGAAGTTCTCCAACTTAGTCAGCGTTTTTGAGTTAATGTCCTTGTAAAGCCCTTACTTTTGCACAAATTGTTCTTTAAACACCTTTCTCATTTGTACCTAAAGGTTGAGTTTTTTTTTTTTTTTTTATCATGCATTACATGCGTTTAAAAAAAAAAAAAAAAAAAACAACAACAAAAAACACACATGTTCCTGATGACAAAAACAGCACTAAAGCTTGAAATATAATTCTTCATAGCCCTCGATACCTCTCCAAGCAGTATAATGAATGTGGCCCTGCAACATGTGCACGTGTGATGGTCCCTCTCAGCTTGCAAAACCAAACCTCATCTATTATTTATGGATGGACATAAACTCAGGGGACCATGGTCCCCTCTAGCTCAATGGTGCGCCAAAGCCATCCATTTTTTCCCCGTCCGCCTGTGGTAGTAAATTTATGTGTATAGGATGTTATGTGATTTATGTAAGCAATACATATCTTCTGACACACATTCCCAGGAAGTAGATGATTGAATCTGATCATTAAAACTGTCACCGTGATGGAAATGGGATGAAAGAAGTGGGAGTTTTTATGTCTTTTGGTTGGCTTCTCTTTATGACTCCAGCCCACCTCATTTGACAAGAGGAAGATATTTCACACAATCTCCTTTGTTGTTTGTACATCTGTGAAGAAGTTGGGGAAGCACTGAGAAGAAGTACTTTCAGTTCAATCACCACTTAAGGGTGAGCAGTCAATTGGAAACTTGGAAAATGAGAAAGCTTAAAAGGTTTAAGGAGCTATTTAAAAAGGAAACTGTGGTACCTATGAAGGACCTATTAAGGAGACTACAAAGAACCAGACTTCTTTAGGAGTTGGTCATTTTGCCATTTTTTACTAGGAAAATTCTGTCCACTACTGACAACATTTTGAGGAACAAAAAGACAATACCTACTTTATCTGCGGCCCAGACAAAGTAGCGTCTGGGCCGCAAATCGACCCAAAGCTACAACAAACGACAAACACAAGGCTGAACAAACTACAACAAAGTTGCTTTGTTTCATCCTTTTAAACTTTAGATCACATTCTGTTATAGAGCATCCTGGATTTATACACATTGGAGACCTTTTTGAAAAATTTCAGTGAAATCAGTGAAAAGGTCCATCTTCTCTATGAAATAGATATATAGACCACTGTTTTACAGTTATAATGCTAACAATGCTAGTTGTGCAAACTTCTTATATAAGTTGCAAAAGGAATTTTAAATGTAAATTCATAAGTCTTTCATTGTTTTGAATTAATAAAACCTTGCTTTACAGCAACTGCTCCCTCTTACACACACAGCGAAATGTCAACTCGACTCCTAATGCAAGAAATTATTAACTTCCTTCATGGAAGGAAGATTAGAAAAAATATTTTGAAAGTTGTTTGTTGTTCTGAAAGAGAAATCAGGAAGTCAAAGGTTCACAAAATCTAGACATTTGAAGTCAGTCACTGATCAGTGTATGGCTAAAACAAATGGTAAGAATCAGCAGGTCTTACGGGCTCTGGTTGGTCTTCCAAAGAGATGGAGCTGAGAAGAATCTTGGTGCGTCCCAACTCCTGGGAGTCCACTTTGATCAGCCTGTGTTTAGGAGACTTCATGTCCACACTGGAAGATTTCATGGGAGATCCGTACACCGGTGTGGAGGGGTCAAAAGTCCCAGATTCCCCTCTGGACCTGCTCTCCGCATCCTCATACGGATCTTCAAAGTCGAGGTCCCTCTGCAGGCGGTATGCTTTGAGGATCTCACTCTCTGTATAGTCCGGAGTGGGAGGCTGTGGAGGCACCTTCCTGCCAAAGCTCAGGTAGTCCTTCAGCCACTTGGCCATGCCGGTTCAGCTTCCAAACTTGGTGCTGGATAGAAAACTGAGAAATGTTGGGGGGGTGGGACAGATGCGAGGTTATTGCTGGACCTTATTTCAGATGACACTGCATAAGATATGGACTGCTTCATAAAAGGACTGCGTATAAATATTTCTATTCTATCAGCAACTACATTAATCCTTTTATCCAAGATCTACCTTCTCCTAATCACAGAGCAACAGCCTGTGTGCCATTTCATGCCTCCATGTGACATTAACCTACGGAGACAGCTGGGCTTCATGGGCTTCTTTTGTTTCAACCATGGGAGCAGAGCGTCTGGCAACTGGACTTTACCCAAAGGCTTCTATTACATCTCACACCCCTGCAATAAAAGTCCGACGATAAAGCCAGAGTGCAAACATATAGAAAAGACCAAGAGAAGATGTTTGTTTTTTTTAAATAACAAATTCATCTACACGGATAGCTTCTAACTTCTTAACTTTTTGACACATTTTTACAAACATTAAGTGTGAGTTTAGATTTTATATACATATATATAAAAAAGAAGGGCTTTTTGTCCAAACTTCTGTTCCACAAAATTACCAAAACAACGGATTTAAACATCGTAGAAAGCTGCGCTCCGAACGCGCAATCACTTACCACGCCAATTCAGTCCCTCGGCCACTTTGGATGCAAAAATCCGCGCTTCTTCATGTCACTAACGATTAAAACTACACACAAAAGGCTGCAATCCTTGTCGTAAAGCCTGTTAAACCTCAGAAGAATGAGAAAACAGGAGCTTTCGGAATCCTTTCTTTCAGAAACTCGAGCGCATCGAAATCCATCCGGACTACCTCCTGAAAAATGTGCGAGTGAAGAGAGCGACGACAGCTCCGAGAGAGGCACAACTCAGCCGAGCGATTAAAGGGGAGGCGCTTCAGTCCCAGAGGAATATCCTCCTGCTGCCTTTCGCAATCAGCAGAGCGTTCATTCATTCAAATGTCTGTACACATCATGCGCCATGCAACAAGACATAGATCCCCTTCTTCCAAACCATTCTCAACGCAACTGGGTCTACTGGCAGAAACGCGTTTCTCAGGTGTTAATTATTTATTGCCATGACATCAGTAGCAATTTTTTTTAAATGTTAGAAAGTCAATTAACGTCATCGTAATTATTTTTGGTTTTAAGAGATAACGCACCAGAAGATGTCCAGAGAGGACTGCGTAAAACTGAGAAATACACGCATCCAAGCAAGCTAAACCATGCACTGATTAATAATATGTGGACATAAAACAAGACAATTTAACAATAAATAAATAATTAGACTTGTCCAGTCTTATTTTTAAAAGAGGTATTCTTTAGTGTATACACTCTGCCTCCTTGATGTTTTACATTTTCTCACTTATCTTCTCCCACATGTCACATTATCCTTTGTCCAGACTGCTAAATTGGATTGTATGCTACACTGAGCCAGGCACATCTGAGTCTGTTAAAAGATCGTAAATGCCTTTTTTCTTTACGACTCTTGTGAGCTCACTTTCTCCCAGGGGGCGGGTGACTGTATGAGGTCATCGAGCTACAATCCACCCCCACCATGGCCATCAGCACCATGACATCTAGACTTTCACATCCTCCCCTTTGCATGTTCACTCCAAACTATTGTTCACCAAGAACAAACACTAGTTCTAGATCAAAAGACACAGATCCAATATGTCCATGTTTATTTTATTTATTCATTTATTACTACAGTCCAATTTAAATTACTCCTTATGGTTATCTTGAACATCCTTGCCTTGACTACAAACAACGCTGGGAACCACCACTCCTTATTCACAAAACATGAAAAAAGCAGTTGAAATCTTACAGTGGATGCAATTTATTAAACGTTTTGGAATCAATACTTGTGCTGTTGAGGTTGGGGTTGGTGAGAAACCCTCTAATTAGTATTCCATGTTGTTGGGACATTTCTGTTAACTTTTTCATATTTAAACTTTGAGAGTGGAGGTATTTAAACTTTGAGAGTGGAGGTATAATGTAGTAGTAGTACTGCTCTTCGAGAGCAGTAGTACTGTTTTAAAAGGTCTATCACTATGGGAAAAAATATGCATACAAGTATATACATTTGTTATAAAAAGTGAAAGAATCAAGTGGATCCCCTTTTTTCTCTTTATGCAAAGATTTCTTTGTTTGGAGAGTCTCGTTTACACATGTCAAGAGGGTCATTATGCAGTGTTAAATGTCTCAGAAAAATAATAAAATCAATTGATTCATTAAATGACATCTTGTGCCAACAATCCACACACAAACACATACCTTTCCGAAAAATACTAGTAGAAAGTCAGGGATGTAATCCTTTCCCCATATGTCAACAAAAACTACTGAGCAGCAAATTCCTTCATCCCCTTCTAGTCTTTTCTCTGCCATAAATGATTTCCTTTTTTTTTCCTCATGTCATATGTTTGCATGTTGCAGCAATCTTTCCCTTCTTGCCCCTTCTATATCCCCTTTTATCCACTCAATCCGCTCTGTACAGCTCGTTCTTTAAAACTCCCCCTCACAGGAAAGCAACATCGAAGATTTAATTTATGTTTCTATCCTGTCCAGACTGAGATTAAGAAGTTTATGGATGAGGAGATTGAAACTAACCTGGGGGAAAAAAAGGAGTGAATGTAGGTCAGGTTGAAATGAAAATCGGGAGCTCTCTAAGAGGAATCATCAGACACAGAATTGCAGGCAACCAGACAGGTATCTTTCCATTTTATTATGCTTTTATCATGGAGAAAGAAAAAATAGTTGCATAACAACCCACACTCTAATTACATTAGTAAAAAAAAAGGAAACAGTCCCAGCACAAGGGTGCTATACAATTTATCAGAGAACTAATAAAACTGTCTCATTATAAAATGCTATATATGGAATCAACAATTCCTGTGAAGTTCAGGATTAACTGGCATTTCAGTATTATGAACATTATAAACATCCAGTTTTTCTGCCGGATTCAGTGGGAGGCAGGTTTTAAATACATAATAACAGAACAACAAAAGTTATTTTTTGAAAGCTTTGAATTTAATAAAACCCTTTGTGTTTATCAAAGGAGTTGAAAAAAAGCAAAACTGGAGGAATAATTGATTTCCGTAATTTCATCTGCCTAGCACTTACTGCCCTCTTTTGGTGGCTGATGTGAATTGACATCACATTACAATCATACTTCCAGATATATTAGTTTCACAGCACAAAATTGTACTGCACTAAAAATAAATTGAATTGGACTGAATTAGACTTTATAAAAATACATAAATATGCTGTGCTTTTTCTGAACACTGTCTTGAAATATCTTTTCTAGCCATGTAGGTCTACATAAATTATTTCAATGTATCATAGAATACTATTATGTGTTTAAGTAAATTGCTAATACTTTTCCAAATACATAATAGAATGGTAAGAGTTTTGCACTATTAAAAAAACAAAATAGTTTTTTGTAAATGCAATTGTGGACTATTGTATCATACTAATTGGGCTACAACTACACCAGTCCATGTTTAACTCTTTTGTCCATTTGAGTTACAGTTCCAAAAACTGTAAGCATACGTATGCTTACAAATACAATTCAAAAGTACGATTTCTCCTGACGTTTTATCTTGCAAAAGCATTCAATCTTTGTTAAAACGTTTTTCACGTTTTGTCACATGAGAATTGATATGATGTGATCCATTATGTCGGTCCCTCCATACCGCAGGCTAGTTGGTTGTATTTAAGGATATTTGTATCCTGGCAAAATGCAAATGCACATAGGACTTATCAGATTTTATTTTTAAAAAGTATACACAGCTTCACAATTATGCACAGCTTTATGTTGACCCAAGAGCTGATGACAAAATGTGAAAAATATTTTGAGAGGTAATAGTTTTACAATAGACGTTTTTCGGAGTCCTGTTTTTTCTTTTTTCTGCTTGAATGCCATTAGTTGTCTTTATGCTTAGAAAGCATTACATCGGTTTCGAGTGAACGTCTTTCTTTTATTTATTTATTCACTTTGTGTCTTCACTTAACTCACCTCTTAACGTTTCCCGGGTCGACCTGGTTCATAGACGCCATTGGTCAAACTCACAGTGACGCAATGAAGACCGCCCAACATCCCGGGACACTGGAACTTTCCCTGCACTAACTGTGTAGAAATCTAAGCTGATAAGACGAGCTTCAAATAAACAAAGACATATGTTCTTTTTTTATTCAGAGGTGAACACATGAATAATTGTCAACATAGTTTAAAACGAAGAAAAACGAAATTGGTGAATGCTCAGCAGAGAAGGCGACAGCTGCAGTCCATCATCGCCAATCAAGCACTGATTCGGCCTTGTGCGCGCTGCTGATTGGTTGATTTGGGACTGGGGCGGGCTCTGTTAGTGCTTCGAGCAGTCAGCAGTGAATTCAGTATTTTTCTGTGAGCAGTTGAAGTGCAAGTGTAACACCTACCTGGAAGTGCACTGACATCCACAGGTAGGCGGCAGGTTTACCTGTCAGCTAAGATTTACTATTTAATTTATTGCTGTAAAAGGGGTTAATATTTAGTCTTTGGTTAGTGCCTTAAGTGTTTTAAAATGTTGCTGTTTCCTAGGTTTTGGGACTATTTGTGATATTAAAATTTATATTTATTAACAACGCCCAATTTCTGTTTTTAATGTTGTTGTTTTGTTGTTGTTCAGTTCAAGACATTATGAAAAGTCTCAAAGCAAAGTTTAAAAAGAATGAGGTAAGAGGCATCTTGTGTGGACATTGTTGAGGATTAAGTGTGTGAACTTTATAGGAACATGTCACTTTCCATGAAAAATATTTTTCTCTCAACCCACAACATTTGCTAGTTGCTTTCTGCAGTTCATTTAAATGAGTCTGAGGGGGATGTATTAGGATACAGTGTCACTAAACAGCAGGAAAGCAGAACTGCCACTAGGCTGCTGTTATAACCAGTGATCTCAAGTAGCCTTCAATTATTAACATGTAGCCCATGCACACTGACTCAAACACACTAAAAGGAGTCCTACTTCATGTCTGTCACTCTTTTTCTAATTTTGACTTTGAATTCAAGCAGCGGTTAATAGAAAAATATGTAGCATTCAATTGCAGACTTTTGAACTGCTGCTTTGTACAAGCAGATCAATAATTATATAAATTTAAAGCTACGCTCCCTCTAATGGTTTGTGTGTTTTGTTTGGACACTCTCATTGATACCTTTATAGGGACCAAATTACAAATTCAATGATAACAACCAGATTAACCAATATAGGTGAACATGGTTAGGGGTCTTTTTAAGGCCAGCTACGCAGACAGACTCTCGCCACCCGAACCAGCAGGGCAAACAGGAGCTTATCCCACGTTTCTCCCCCCTCTTTTTGCTGAGTCCTCACATCACACAGGCCCCGCTCTGTAGCTGCAGAGAAACAGATCTCACTATGCTGCAGGAGGGGAGCAGGGATTGGGAGGGGGAGCACTGTGCAGGACTTAACAAAAACTAATGGTAGCAAAGAAGGGAACTGCTACACAGAAGAAGGCAGCAGGGGAAATGATCAGTTTGGAGAAATTAGGACAGGAGGGAGGGATACTGTCGTGGACAGACCGGCTGGGCCAGTGCATGCAGCTGAAGCAAGACGAAAGGAGACTTGTTTCCGAATCCGGACAGAAGATGCCGTTTTGGGATGTGTTGTGAAGACAGGGAGGGGTTGTGTCGATGTGTGTATGTGACAGTTTATAGATCACCAGAGGTAGGATTTAAAAATAGTATAGATTCTCTGCTATGCAGATCTATGCTGTGATGTTGCTCTGACCTCTGGAAGGTTTTTTTTTTCTTTCCAGAAACTCATTGATTTTCCTGAGAGACTGAAATGTGACGTAGGCATGTGGCATACAGTGGTAAAATAGTACTCTCTGGCAGTGTTTAGTTTTGGTTGACTCTCTGCTAGCAATATGGATCCCCAGCAGCCTGTGTTTAGCCTAATGAAGCGGTTCTGTCCTTGTCTCAGCCTGCTGCCGCTGCCAGTAGGTATCCTCTGTCTCTGTTTGTAAAAATTCTGAACAAAAATTGACTGTAATTTTACTTTTTTTTTTTTTTTTTTTTTTTTTTTAAAACAATTTTTACTGTTTTCTCGGGTTT